TCTTAACGTGGTCGGAGCGACAGGGAGACTAGTCCTGCGTCTTGCATTTACCTCTCGAATTTCACGTAAACGGGCATCGAAATCTAAGACTTATGTGTAGCCAGATTTTAGATGGGGAGATAGTGATTTTCATGTATAACAGGGAACAACTGACACGCCCTGTGAACGACATCTGAAACCGGTCATGAAGGTGATTGTGCTTCACCAAATCCACTCGAAGTGACACATTCTTATGGGACATTAGAGGTAACGAAAACACAGTATGGTGTGAATATATAAGTGGGCCATATGAAGTGAGGTTGAGAGAAAGAGATGCAGCATTGGAAGCTAAGACAAAAATATGGTTGGAGAAAGATGCTTCAACGAATGTCTTCACTTGTTACTTTGATAAGTTGCAACTCTGTGCTAACTACGGAGCCTCTCGCTGACGGGAATGTACCAAGTTAGTGGTCTAATGTTGAAAATCACGAATACCATGGCTGAGGACACAGGACGTCTACAATGTCCTATAGGGTCTCCTTGACGCTCCGACCAAATTGTAAAAACATGGTCAAAACAGCACTATATAATACCAGGGTTTTCATAGTGAGTGACCTATCATTCCTTTTGAACACTGACTTTATGCTCAACCCAAAACAGTACCCTCTTATAAATCCACTGAGTCGTGTAGACCTACCAGATGCTACTAACTATGCTAGTGGCAGCCCTGGTTACCTGATAGGCTGGCCGGTGATCGCTGGCAAGAAAGCAGAGGTCGGCTCGAGTGTCACTCTGATTGCACGACGACTCAAGGCATCTGAGCAGATGGGCCACTTGGATTCTCCACTCCAACAAGTAGTGGACAATTTGGATCTTCTCCAACACTCACTGGCTGGAATTGTCCGACCTCAGCCTAATCTTGCCTACTGGTTTGTACCTGGTGGCGGATCTTCTTGTCCCTCAACTACAAGTACTACGCTCCCCAACCCTCCAGAGGCATCCAACAACCTGAATTCAATTCGGTTTGGTGTAAATGTCTTCGCAAGTTGCCTTTTAAGGTCAATTTCTCTTAATTTGTACACGTTACTTTGGCTTGATATGTGGCAAAATTAATTATATTAGTCGATTCTAGTCGGTCCAAATGCTGGCAGAGATATTTTAGAAAATAACTTGCAGATCAATTTAGTATCCTGTTTTTGAGTCCCGATTGTATTAAGACTATACTTACTTCTGTTAGCAGTTCATTGATACCTGGGTCAATTAGTTATATTTATCGGTTTTATTTCGCTATTAAACAGCCAGCATTAATCAAAGCTATAAAATATTCGCTCTGCGTAAGGGGTGCTAGGCCTACTTTGGGGTTGATTGCCTAATACTTTGTAGTAAACGACCAAACCTTTGGTAATCAAGGCTTGTAATACTCTTACTCTTTGTTACTACCCTGACGGGAGAAAATGTCGGTAGTCGGGCAGCCCAGAGCAGTAAATTTGTCCAAAACTTTATTGGAGCTTTCTATTGAGGAAGTACTGTCAAAAAGCTTAAGCTTTGCCTTTCCAAATAAGAAGGACTACGAGATGGAAATTTTAGTAAAATTGATGAGTTTAACAGATAGTTTCCAAGAGGATACGAGAAGTGGCATTTCATTACAAGTTGTCCCTTTAATTGACGTCCATGCAGACCCATCCTATACGAATATAACAGTTGAGACTTTAATAAGAAACCCCAAGGCAAGTGACTAATTAGTATTGAGGGCCCACAAAGGAGGAGTAATGCTAATTGTAACTATGACTTATTATGTTGTGAAAATGTTGCAGGCATTAGACAATAGAGC